GTAAGCAAAAGAAAATGGATGAGTGGGTTACTATGAAATGTTTTACTAACATTCATGGGTCCCCAGAGCAGAAATCCTAAACACTATGATGACTCATTGGCTAGTTTGCTGACTTCAAATTCGCAGGGGCTCTTTGGTGTAGCAAGGATATCAGGACTGCGAGTAATGGATGGTCTGTGTGAGTCATTGCTGTCACTTTATGGTCAATCTGTGTCTACACAAGATTCATTCAGGCCCACTACTGAGTCGTATATTACCTGACATTTTGGAAGTCCTCAGATCCCACTAAACAAGTAGTATTACATTCACTGGCCCCATTTATTAGTTATGCTTTGCCAGTACAAGGTTGGTCCCCTGTTTGCCTTTGGAGTGCATTAATTCTTCATGGCAGAGATTCAACAAAGTGCTGGAAAAATTCCTCAGAGTTTTGGTCCAAATTAACATGATAGAGTCACACAGTTGGTGCAGATTTTTTGCCTGTGTGTTTATCTCCCATTCCACCACATCCCAAAGGTGCTCTATTTCTGAAATGATGCACATTTCTGCTGTAAGCAGCCATCTCAGTATAGATGCAATATGGTCATAAAAAACATGATCATCAACAATACTCGGGTAGGCTGTACAATTTAAATGATGTTCAGTTGGTATAAAGAGGCACAGAGTGTACAAAAAAAAAAAAATCCACCAAGCCATTTCACCATTACTAGGCAGGATAGATCTTTATTGTGTTTATTTATGTGTATTATGCAAAATTATGCAATTTTTTTTCATCAGACCAAGCAACATTTTTCCAGTCTTTTCCTGTCCACTTCTGGTTAGCTTGTGTGAAATGTCAGCTAAGAAGATTCCTTGCATTCCTCTTCTTAGCTGACAGGAGTGGCATCTAGTGTGGTCTTCTGCTACTGCCTATACCAGTAATATTAACAATACTTTTTGTTAATAATCAGCGGTGCAATAGACTCCATACTTGAAATGTGCAATTCACTTGTATTTTTATTTTTATTCCTATTTATTCTATTTATCCCCTTTGTATATTTTATCTATATATGTCTTTGTATTTATATATGTGTGTATATATATATATATAATATTCTTAACTCTGTAACTTCTGTCGGTGCTGTGCTTTTTGGAAAACAAATTTCCCAGAGGAACCCACCCGAGGGATTAATAAAGTTTTATCTATCTATCTATCTATACCAGGGGTAGGGAACTCCAGGCCTCGAGAGTTGGTGTCCTGCAGGTTTTAGATCTCACCCTTGATCAACACGTCTGAATCAAATGATTAGTTCATCACCAGGCCTCTGGAGACTTCAAGACATGTTGAAGAGGTAATTTAGCCATTTAGATCAGCTGTGTTGGATTAAGGACACATCTAAAACCTGCAGGACACTTGCTCTCGGGTTCCCTATCCCTGGCCTATACGCTTCAAGGCTTGACAGGTAATTTGTTTAGAGATGCTCTTCTGCATAGCTGTAAAGAGCGGTTATTAGAGTTACTAATTACTGTTGCCCTTCTATCTAGGCAATCTGGCCATACTCCTTTGACTTTTGGCATCAACAAGACATTTTAGCCCAGGCTTTTTTGGGCGGTTCTCTGAAAACTGTAGAGACAGTTGTGTGGGATAATCCAATCAGTTTCTGACACAATCAGACCAACCCTTATATCAGCAACAATCATGCGACATTCAAAGTACCTTAAATCATCCCATTCTAATGCTAAGTTTGAACTTCATATCTAAATTAACTAGCGTCCATGTGACAGCTGATTATATTTGTGTTAACAAGCAGTTGAACCACTGTACCTAACAAAGTGGACAGTGAATGTTTGTACATTACAAAAGGCAAAATAGACTTGATAACTCAAATAAAACACAACAGAAGCTGTGGTTGTGTAGACAGGTGAGTTGGTGAAGATAAGAGAGTATGTGTTCTGTCAGTCCTGTGAGACAGATGACTGAAAAACGTGCAGAAAAAATGCACGCGGTGGAGACAAACTGTCAGGACCAACGACTGCTTTTGCGATCCTCCACACTTTAAATCCAGATGTTGAGCATTATAATTATTAAACATCTAGATTTATCTTTGTCTGAGATATCAGGTTGACTGCAGTCCTCATGTAAGAATGACACCTATATAAAAAGGAAGAAAATACGAAGTGCTTTCACAGTTTAAATAACAAAAGACTTTGAATACAAGAAGCAAAAGGTGATAATTACATTCTTTTGTAAGCGACTTGGCCTCACACTAATAATTGCTGCAATTCCTTGTCCAAAAATCAACAGTCAGGTCTCAAGACTGAACATAAAAAGTTAATGATATCAAAATTATTATGAATACACAGACTTAGATTCATTTATTTTAATGAAAGGGTATGACATTGTCATGATCCTAAAAATGGACTGTAGCCATCTCCCCTGGAACCTCTGCTATGTGCCATGAAAACCACAAGAAAACGAGACTGTCACTTTCCATTAACAGCGCACACACTTTGCTATCAGTCACTTCACCCTGCATCATTACTAACCTACTCTGTCAGTGTGTTGAGTGAGCTGCAGGCAGGGTGGCACAGCATCGATCATCCTTTGTTCGGTGAGGAAAGGCAAGTGTAATTTCACCGGTAATTACATGCAACAAATAACTGCAACAGTGAGGAGAAACCATGTACAGCAGTAGTAAGAAAAGGAAATATTGAAAACCAACAGCCATTTTTAAACCGCTAATGCTGCAATTATGCGATGCTGTGGAGAACACATACATCAAGTAGTTGTGTTAGTGTGTTGGACACACTGCAGCGCTAAGTCTCTGCATGGTAAGGAACACTGTGACCTGTCTCCACTTGACCCATCATATTATTCTTACCTTTGCCTCAAAAAGTGCCCTCCATCTCAGAGAAAATAGATGACACAGAAATGAAGGCAAGGCTGTAATTTTCCTTAGAGAAGCTTCACCTTTTTATTTTTAAAAAGACATTGTACTGTGCAGTGAAAGGTGGATTCCACATATACCTTTTAAGCAGCAGTCTTTTTTTTCTTAGACTTAATCTACCTGCTAAAGAGTGCTGTGGGTAGTGTCATATAAAGGTAATATTTCTGAGAAATGAAAAATAGTTTATTATAGCTGAACACTGCACTTGATTATAAAAGACTGACATGTGCTATTCCAAAGGAATGAACGATTTGGGTTTTTTTTTTGCATGTAATGAATCTGTATTGCAGGTAAAATGCATTTGAAAATGAAAATAACAAAGATATATGCTTGACTGAAAAACAAAAAAAGCCCAGTCTCACAATTACCCCTCTGCAATCACAGGTTGTGTTTCTGCTTCACTTCTTACCAGCACAGCCACTTACTAGATTCTAAAAATTTCCTAAATCCAAAAGAATAGTCCAATATGTTTGTGCAATCAATACAGCTGCTCAGGGACTATTTTCTTTCATATTGCCTTGTGCCGGTTATAATCAGGGTAACGGCAGCAGACACTGTGCAGTGTGCTCAACCTGAGCTAAGCCTTGTTATCTGCTGGAGGTGTCAGGGATTGTGGGTGACACCTCTCAAATCTACTACAAATACTTTCACAATGTGGTTCTCTTTACATTTCAACACAAAATATGAATGCAATGTTGTTCCCCTGTTTGCGTTTTCTTTTTGGATAAATACCACCAGACATGCGTGCTGTCAGATGTTTTTGTTAGACTGTATAATTGAAAAGATATTTGTGGAAGGAGAAACCTACAATACACCTGCTTACAGTCTCTGGACACTGCAAGCTGACAGTCTAGAAACAATACAGCATTCATTTCATAGCTGATTGAATCCTAATCAATACTGATTTCCCTCAACAAAGATGATGAACCCATTCAATACATCAATATTGCGTGTTTAAAAAAAAAAAAGAAAGAAAAAGGACTCACGTGATGGATTAGCTGAAAAATGAGTTTCAGTGAAGCCAGGATGAGAGAAAATGATGCTCTGAACAGGTGTGAATCCTCAGGGATTAGAGTTGGAGAAGAAGCTGTGCACAATAACAACCAAAGCGGTTGTGTCAGAGGCAGCAGCGAGAGGAGCACAGCTATAATTGTGCTTAGAGCCCCTTCAGGTGCCAAAGACCCTCTGAGGACCGTACTCTGCTGTCACACAGTGGTGAATTTATTCAATTGCATCCTGAAAATGAGACCAGCTGCAAGTGCTGACAAGAAGACACTGAAGACTCAGGAAGCAGATTTGAACCAAATTTATTGATGAAGAGCAAGTTTGATAAGGTGGTAATCTTTGTTCATTGGTAATTTAATGTCATAATCTAGACCCAGTCTGGATTTTAGTCGCCTTTAGAGTGTATTCAGATAGGGCTGCACTCTTTTTCATTGTCAGACTTCATCACCACCTTAACAGAGCAGGCCTTCTCATCCACAACCAGCTCACACTCCTCAGGAACATCTACAGTGTTTGCATCGGGGATCCTATGATACAAAAAGAAAAAAGAAACAATAATGATCAAAAACAATTTCAGGGGTTTTGTTCATTTAGTAACTCTTATATCACTGTTAAAGCCTAAAAAGAGAACTTATCACAGTCCTACGAGTAAGAAAGCTGAGAGAAATGAGGTTTATTTGTTTAAAGAAAAAATGCCTTAATGAATAAAAAAAAAACAATAATGTGGAAGTCTTACTTGCTACAGCAGCTCAAACCCTCGCTTGTACAAGAGCAGTCCATGCAGTCTCTCACCCATGCAGACTCAAAATCATGCAGCTCTCCATCCTTATCCACACACCCTACATGTAAAGAAATGAAAACACAGCTCAACTCAAAGGAGTTGTTGACTTACTTACTCAGAGGCACTCCTTGTGTTTAAGCATCTATCAGTGTATGCATAGGTGTGGTTAAGGGATTAGATGTGGAATAAATGTCTAATATCTGTAAAAAATGACAGAGAAACCTTTCCACCACACCCAGTGTCCTGCAGTATTGTATCTGTACAAGAAAGGTCACATGTGACTCACCTTTTGGAGGGTTATTTGGATCTTTGACCTCTAACTCCTCGAAAAAGCATTGAGAGTGACAGAGCACAACGAGCCCCAGCAGACAGACAAACACATGTAGAGAGGACTGAAAGAGAAACACATTTCATACTAAAGTAATTTCTATCCTTTTAAGACCTTTAACATGACAGGAAATGGCCTACTACTGCTTCGACTAACAACTATTCTGTTCAGTTGACACAGTGTATACACAGTTGTACCTTATATCTTACATAACCCGAGGCGTGTGTAAATATAAAATACAATTCTGAAAAAGCAGAATGATTTTCAGGTGTCATAAACTCAGTGTTTAAACTAAGATATTTTACTAATTCATGAAAATTATGAGCTTATTCTAAATCTGAATTGACAGTACGACATCTAAAAAAAAAGTAGGTACAATTACTAAAAAGAAAGCCAAAGATTTGTGATTAGGTTAATTGGCAACAGGTTAGTAACAGGACTGAGCAGAGGTTTACCAATCTGCAAAAAAACTGCCTCTACAAATTGTGGAAGAATTTAAGAATAATGTGACCCAACATAAACTGCAAAGACTTTGAATATTTCATCATCTACAGTACAAAACATCATCCAAAGATTCAGAGCATCTGCAGAAATCTCTGTGCGCAAGAAAACGAATTCTGGACGTTTGATCTTTGGTCCATCAGGCAGGATGAGATTAAGAACAAGGATGAATCTGTCATGGAAATCCCTGCATGGGCTCAAAAAAACACCTCCAGAAATCACTGTACAAAGTTAACTGTGTCATCCACAAATGCCACTTAAAGCTCTATCATACAAAGAAGAAGCCATATATGAACATGATGATGAAAAGCCACCATCTTCTCTGAGCCGAAACTCATTTAAAATGGACAAAGTGAACCAAACTTTTGGTCGATCAAGAAATATGCAATATGCAATACAATATGAGAAAGAAGACCCAGGACATTTAAAGAGACGGAATCCTACGAAGAATGGGATAGCATTCCTCAAATAAAAGTTTATCAGCTGGTCTCATTTCCCAGATTTTTGTGTACTATTGTTAAAAAAAAGAGTGGATGCAACACAGTGATAAACAGGGAAGAATTGGTACCATTAAAATTTTTTTTTTTTAAATGTTAAATTTGCTCTTTTTAAACACTGGTATGATTTATATGTTCTATGGTGCATAAAACATGGGTTGATGAGATTTAAAAATCTGTTTTCTTTTACATTTTATAACTTTTTTGGAACTGAGTTTGTAAAATATATACACTCTGACAACAATTACGTGATTGAAATTTCACATAACTATTCATATTTACATTTATACTGAAACTTATTTTAAAAAATAGCTGTGATTAGAGAATATATAAAAGAAAGTGTAAAATACGTACCATCCTCAGTTATGATGTATCCCGGCCAACAGAAAAACTATGTGTGAAAATTCGGTAGTCACGGATTTTATTAAGGTGTCACTCCCATGTATATCATTATGAAAATATTTAAACAGTGACGTATGTTTTTTATCAAATATTTGTTTAAGGTGGAGAAGACCAGCAGGTTATGTTGAAACTGCATATCAAAATCAACATTTTCACCAGCGATAGAAATGGTTTGTTTCTTCTCACGAATCAAACTCAAGCACAGTGAAAAGCCAAAAGGCAGAGATGGATTACTTGCATCGATAAACGATACACGTTGTAAACAGTTAAAGAGATAAAGTTTGGATCAGACCTGCCAGAGTAAACACTGCACTTTTGAACCTTTGCTTGAAAAACAAACAAAAACAAACTGCTTTTAAAGCTTTATAGGCAACAGATGATACCTCCATGTTTCTACAGTCACCACTTAACAATCAGTAAAAAATAAAAAAAATAAAAATCGTAGAAAACCATGACAGAGTATCAAACTGGGATAAAGAAACAATTACACATATAAGGTTTAATGTGCAAAATATACATTTTTTGCAATGAATATTCACATACTTTATTGAGTTTAACTCTGAATATAGGGAGCTCCATGTCAGTGGTGAGTTAATCTTAGTGCAAGTGAAATAAGACATTTTTTATGTTAGTGCAGAGGATTTTTTTTTTTTTGCACATCTAAAGAAACGAGTGCTCCTTTGGTAGCAGCTATCCAACAGGTGTCAGATATGTTTGCAGCAAAGCCTGAGCTCTGAGGCATCACCACCTCAACTCCCGAAGAGGCACAACTACAGTATCAACCCACAGCTATTTCATTAGATTTCTGCTGTAATTATCAAGTACCACCGAAAACCCAAACCACCACCGAACAGTAAACAACCCCAAAGCAGAAGCTAAGAATGACAAAAGTGATCATTTCAAGGCAAATCTTCAAAGACAATAAATGTACCTGCATCGCTTAGCCAACAAATAAATCTCATTCTTTTCCTTTGGCAGTGTGCAATTACATTTAAAGGTACTGCTCAACATTTTGAGACAAACACTTATTTAGTGTCTGATATAATGTACATATGAAACTGACTTTTTGGAGTCATGTGACCACTAACCACGTGATGTTAACTTTTGCCATTTTGGACATGTGACAATATAGGCCAAGTAAATAAGGCCCCACTCTCACAGGTGTAGAGAACATTCAGTGACCCCCACCAGTTACTAGGGAAAAACGAGTAATCCCCTACTGGTTGGCGAAAACCTCTTTGAGATTATTTTGATTCCCCATAGTTTGCATGGAAGACAGCAACTTGTCTGCAATCACTCACCAACTGCTCTCCAAAAAGTAGTGAAACTGTGAGAAGTCCAACAAACACAGACCATTTGACTTTAAAGCGGAAGCAGAAGTTGAGTTTTAAGAATAACATTGTAAACTGTGAGAAACAGCTTTTATTTTGGAGACAATCTCCATTGCTGGTTTGCGCTACACTTTTTCCAAGTTTCACTACCACTCAGTGGTTAGTAAGAGAGTATTTCCACTTAAGTTGGTATCTTCCATGCTAACTACAGATGTTTACAATGATCTTCTTGCAACCACGGCAATCACAAGGTGGTTTTCGGTGCAACACCCTCATTGTGACAAACTTCACCTAATGACAACCACTCATCAATCAGTTGGTGAATGCATTTTTTCTTTGCAACTGGTGGTTGTATCATGTCCAACATGGTGAGAAATCTGTTGTCCTGTGAGAAACCTCTCTAGTTAGCAGCCAGACAGCATAGCTTAGCTTAGCGTAAAGACCAGAAACAACCAACGACGTTTATCCAAAGTTAAAAAATAAAAAAATAAAATAAAAATCCAAACAACAAATATCAAAACATCAGTATTACTAAAACTTGATATTTATAAAAGAGTTTATCATTTCAAATGTGCTGGTAGTGTACCTTTAAACAGACCCTGGTCAACTATACCCCGGTTTCCAGTCCATGTGCTAAGCTTAGCTAAATGTCAATATAGAAGTTAGCTAACTTCTATATTGACAGCTAATCTAACATATAAAAAAAGTATCGTTCCACAACTGTCACTTTTATTAATCAAATTAATCAAAGAGAACATGTTTTTTTTATATAATAAATTATCAAGTTTTTTCACTAAGGCATTCATATTAGAGTCCCATGCATGTTGCCACTGCTGTAACTTCAACTTTATCCAATCAGAGTTTTCATGAAGGCCGGTTTACTGAAGGGCCAGTGATACTGGTTGGGGACGGGTCCATTCACGTTACACTCAAAAAAGGAGAACATGGGGAACCAAATGCGTGCCCTTCGGCTATGCTGGTAGGCACGAGTGTTAGCTAAGGTGTGATAGTAGAGGAAGAGGCGGGTGGTGATGTAGAAGGCGATGAACACGTCGATGGAGTAGTGCTCGTGAGCAGCCAGGATGAAGAAAATCCCAAACAGGTTTAACACCCAAGATATGGTGTGAATCAGATTCCATGTCCGTGGAGTATCTGCAATTAGAAAACATAATTATAAGACATGCTCAGTGTATTTTATGTATATCCAAAGCTTGCAGACATCCTTGGCACTAGTTTATTTTGAGCTGGACAGCTGGTATGAGATATTTGTGCTGATATATTGCGTTGTTGCCAAATGTGCCACTGTGTATTTTGTCCAGTCCACGTTGGTCTTCTCTATTCAAAGGACATTTTTCAGAGGTTTTGTGGTTTGTTCAAAGGAAGTTTTCAAAGCTTAAAATTAATGCCATGTTCTTTTTAGGGAGAAGAGTCTCCTGGCAACTCTTCCAAACAAGCCATACTTGTTCAGTCTTTTTCTGATTGATGGACTTCAAATAGTTTGGAAATGGACTTTAACTGCTCCCAGACTGATGGGCAGAAACAACTGTTTCTGATACATTTCATGTTTGGCATTGTGTTAACACTTGTCTAAATGCTCCAAATCAACAAACAGCCTCTGCAAACCTCTACTGTGATAGAGGTGCTCACACTTGCTGATGATCAGATACTACTTACACTTGTTTCTACTTGTGGTCTTGATTCCTATGACAGCAGTAAGCCTGTGCTTAGTTTTTTTATGCATTACTTCTGCATTTTGGCTTATCTTTTGTTAAATAAATAATGACATGAGGTTGTATTTAAGTGAATTTAAGACCTGCTGAGGAACAGGTGATTTTAAAAAAAAAAAAGAAAAAAAAAAGTCCCAATACATAAAACCTTAGAGTTAAAAGAAGGTGTACTTTTCTTAATTATAATCACATCATTTCTTTCCTACTAGTAAAAATACAAGACCTAACAAGAATGTACACTCTCACTAAACTCATTGAAAGCCGAACAAAAGAATTCATCCTCACATTCAGTCACAAAGAAGTTGAGCATCGTGATGACAACAGTGTGCCCACTGAACATGTAGTCTCCACAGGTTTGCACGCCTGTCAGAGTCATCCCAAATCCACTCCAGATTGTTAGAGCCCTCTGTATCTTTCCCCAGGTGTCACCATATGTCTGAGGGACAAAAAAAAAAACCCTCCAGTAATCAGTCATGCTGTGAATCACAGTGGCAGCTGTTTATTAGTTATCACCGCAGTACAGCTGAGTGATCAACTGAACTGTAACACTGCCAACAGCAATGAGAATAATAATAAAAAAAAAACTCCAGGAGGAAAAAGGACAAACACAATCTCATTTGCACTTCCCACCTTGCTGGCACACTTCAGGTGCTGCCCTGGCACAGAAAGCGAGGTGGCAAACATGGTGCAGCAACGAAGCAAAAACACCGTTCCCATTAAAGAACACAGCCGTCTGAAGAGGATGGACCTGAAACACAGACGCACACCCAACTCAGTGTAATGTGATGGCAGCAGCTAGGAATGTGCAAACTGCAGAAACGGGACCTATGGGCTACCTGTGTTTGTGAAGCAGCAGGATCAACAGAAACATGTAACATAAGATGAGACCACAAGCTTCAGCCATGGCAAAAGCCCAAGGAATTCTGGGTACACTGTTAAGAGTACAAAAACATGCATATCAGAAAGCAGATAAGATATGAGTGCAGCTCAATGTGTACGTGAACTATGGAGCTTATGTTGCTCAACAATCCCTGGAACCACCATATAGATACTTATCAGTGCAAAATATGCAAAACATATAAAATATGCAAGCTTGTACCTGTCCAGGAATATATCAGGCAGCGGTGGGTATGTCCTCATGTCAGGGACGCGCTCATGTACGATGACCATGACAAAAGATGTGAATCCAAAAACAAGAAAAACATATATGGAACTGATGACTGTTTTCCAAACCTCTGGGTCCAATCTACCAGCTAAGTGCTGCCTACACCTCCCGTTGGAGTGTGTGTGACACAGCACCTCTCCTGAGCTGTATCCAGATCGATTGCTGTTCCTTGACCGCAGCTCAGTCCCGTTACACAAGCGATCACCTCCATTACACCCGTCAGCTCCGTCGCAGCTCCACTTGACCCCAGCAGTGCCTGCGGAGAGCCCGGCGGGAAGACTGTCCAAAGGTGCGAGGCCCAGCTCCTCCAGCTGGGCCTGGTTTTTTCTCTGGAGCCGGCGGAGGGCTATGGTCAGCCTTTTGATGTCTCCCAGCACCGTGAGGCCCAGAGGAGGACCCCTCAGGTCGGCCTCAGTCAGAGCCAGCAGACTGAGGCCGTCCAGGCGGTGCTGCGTGCACAGTAGCTCCACGTACTGCCCAAAACCTTCTTCCTTCAGCCACTGGGCCACCTGCTTACAGCTCCAGGCACTCACATCATCTTCCGACAGTGCCATGCTGCTGCAGAAACAAACACTGTTAAGTAATGTGGGTTATGACAGAGATAAAAATAACTGAAATTACAGCGGCAGAGAAGTATGCGCGCACACACACACACACACACACACACACACACACACACACACACTGATGTTCTGACTGATCAAAGGCTGCTGTTAACAATTCTCTAAAGCTTGATAATTAAGTGCCACTTCCTCCTCTGCGTTTTGATCACTTGATTTCATAACTGTTCAGTGCCATTCTTTTAATGCAAAACTGCCTGAAGCTCACCCACTGACACTTCTGCTCAATTTGCATGAAAATTAACACGAGCACTTTCCCCGCTGTTCATATCATACAGCGCTGCAGTTATATAAATTATTCATAAGTTTGCTGATTATTCTACGCAGTGTAGTGGTTTACACATTCGAATAACAAGCGAGAGATCGCTGGTTTGATCCCAGGAAAGAGTCATGAATCTCTTTGGTTCATCCAGAAGATCATCTTGGGTGTAAATCTGCCAAACTAAATATGCGGAAAAGCCCGCTGTGGTGACCCATTATGAATCACAGAGCAGCTGAAAGTAGCTTCTTTATTCTCCAAACCATTCATGTTTTTTTTTTTCTTTTTTGCCATGAAATTTGATTTAAAAAAAACAGCATCGGGCGCAGCAGCATCTCAAATGTCTTGTTTGGAACAAAACAGTAGAGTAACCAAAGTAAAACTAAATGAGAGCAAATTTCAACAAATGTATTGTTTCTTAAGTAAATATATGGGTTGGAGCTCTGTTATTTTTGTCACAGATAAACATATCCATCATGACTTCTCCAAAACTGGGATTCATAATCCAGCTGTACCAGAACTGAAGCCACTTTGATAATTTAGAGATTGTTATATGGACAAAATGAGTCCTTTCAAGGTCATGGCAAATTGTTATTGCCGTGTTTTACAGTTTTCACATTTTTGGTCACTTTAACAATTAAAAAGTCATCATTTTTAATCAGTATGCAGTAAGTGCAGGGTTAATTAGCTGAGGGGTTGGCTGCCTCCTTGTGCTCTTATTTAGTGAAACCCTGCAGTGCACGCTGCAGCCTGCTTAGCTGGTTTTGCATCATCTGTGTTCAGGTCAGTGACTGTACGTTAGCACTTTGTCCTGCTTTAGCCAGGACAGAGTGTCCCACCTAAAGCAGGAATTCAAAACCCCAAAACAGTGAGTCACTAAAAAAACCACAGGAGACTACAATCAATCTTTGCTTTGCAGTTCGCTCATTTCTGCCCTTTGAACTTCTGACAAGCTCACCACTGTACAGCTCCACTCGTACTCCAAAGGTCTACAAGTTCAACCAACACGGCTGTAGTACTGTACTGATGGCCTGCCTGCTGAATCGACACTATATACAGCCTTGAAATGTTTATTTTGTACTGAACCAAACCGAGAAAATCCAGGAATAATTCTTTTTTATCATGATGTTAAACAGGCTCATTATGGAGCTGACTGATTGAATGATTAGCTGATCAATCAGCAAAAACTTAACTGACAAAATTCATCAAACAATCCCTTTAAGAAGCAGAAAATCTGGTAGAGTTTCTGGAACGTGCTGTACATTATTTCGTAATATATTCTGACATTTTAACAGCTAAACATTTATGACAAGATTAATTGATTTAAAAATAAAACAGCCTAAATACTAGATTCTGGCCTCAAAGCTTTTGTTGGTGGTTTCTGAATTTGGCCTTCAGCCTGACAGCCACACCTAGTATGACATCACTCCTCTGACACTGGTTCAGTTTGGCACTGAAAGTCACCGCTAAAGAAAATCCCTGAAACCTACAAGCAGCTCACTCACCGAGGCGTGTGCAGATCTGCTCCCTCAAAGAGAAATAAGTTATTTTTAACTAGCCTCGAGATTTTACTGGCAACATCCCGCAGCTACTTGGGATATAAAAGTGCCATGTCAGCTTGTTTGGCTGGCTTACAGTGACTCACAGTCAGGCAGTAGGACACAGCTCAGTGTGTGTGTGTGTGTAAGAGAGAGCGAGAGAAAGCCCTTCAGTGTGTGAGAGAGACAGAGGCAGCTCAACAAAGAGCTCATAGTGTCTTTTCACCGCAGGGGTTACAATGTAACGTCAGATTGCAACATTCCATTACTAGCTCAGCAACTTTCTTCACATGAACAAAAAACTACATGTTCAACTTAGAGCAAACACGTCACAGGAAGTCCACTTTATTATCCAATGGTCGTCTCACTTACCAAACATCCACTGTCACTGCGCTGCTACAAGGTGCGGATGAGCCGTCTGTTTACTCCACCGCTCATAGGAGTATTTCACAGCCAACATGCTTCGGACTACCAAGCAACAACAAACAGGAAGAGGCAACAGCAAACAAAAAGCAGCCAAGAGGAGCAGGATGCCTCCTGCGAGACTTCAGCTCAAAGGACACTGACATCTGCTGGTTACACTTGGAAAGCCTGGGATTTCTTTAATCCGTCAACTTTGACTGTTTTACTGTGGTTTTCGTTCTTAAAACAGTATTGTCATTCTTGCCTTGGCATTCATTTTTCCCCCTTATAACATTCAAACTTTTTTATATGAGGTTATGTTATACATCAATATCTCATGCATGAACTTAAGCTATGTATAAGCAAAGAGTGTGCTATCGTTTTAGCAACAAATCATAGATGAAATGAGCTGTTTTCATTGTCATTTTGGGGCATTGAATGTTAGTCCCAAACCGACTGCAGCAGTAAATCTTGTTACTCTTTTAGCCATGAAAGAATCATTGTGTAGAGGAAAGTAGGAAGAAAAGTTAATACAAACTAAACCTATAATGTTAAAAACATGTGCAATCATTCACTAAGCAAATGCTTATTAGAGATTACAATAAAACTGCATTTACGTATGCAGACATGGTGCCTACTAAAGCATCAGAATGGGGAATAAGGGTGATTTAAAAGTCTCTAAATGTGGCATTGTTGCTGGTCTGGTCTGAGTATTTCAGAAATGGCAGACTTACTGGGATTTTCTTGCATAACTGTCTTTAAGGTTTACATAGAATGGCCCAAAAAACAGAAACTATTCAGTGAATGGCAGATCTCAGAGTGAAAATGCCTTGTTCATGCCAGAGGTCAAAAGAGAAAGGACTAACTGCTTTAAGCTGCTGGGAATTCTCATTATGACCAAGATATGCAGAGGAGCATGGATAACACACAATAACACACCTTTCTTGAACATAATGATGAGTTTTTTGTACTCAAATGGTCTCCTCGGTCTCTCAACAGATAATTATATTCTCAACATAAATGTTTTTAAATAGTTTTTTCTATCACGTTTAAGTAGATCTCATGTTATATACCTATCTAGTACCTACAGATTGTACCGTTGTATTTGAGTCTGCCATAACTGGAAAGCAAGCTTGAGAGGTTGACTGAGAGCCAGTGCCAATGAGCCACCTGTTTTTGACAGTCAGAGGCTGAGTGAGGTGGAACTGCTGCTGAAAGAGAGTCAAGGCGAAGGCAGCAGAGTGCAGCTTGGTTTCATTTTGGTAAAGAACAAAGCAGACCATCTGCAATTGTAAAAACTTTGAGAGACAGAAAGTCCTCCTCAGGTGCTGCCACAGGGATGATATGTGATATACAAGATTTGGAGCCAAAACAGGAGAAGTGTGTGGCAGGGGGATCAGAGAGAAAGTGGAAGATCCCATCTCTCCAGGATCTGGAGGAGGTTTTACACTCAGCTCCACGCTCCTGTCGACATGGAGACGAGGTGTGGCCGAATCTGTTTCTGGGAGACATGTGAGTATTGTGAACTGGACTTAAATTCACGTATGCACATCTGGATTGTATTCATGTGTTACATCTGCTGTTTGTGTCAGGTTTATGTCTCATGACAAGTTTGGGCTCTACCAGCTAGGGATCACTCATGTGCTGAATGCCTCACATGGTAAACTCTGCTGTAAAGGTAGTGATGATTTCTATGGAACCACAGTGAAATATTACGGAGTCCCTGCCAACGACCTCCCCACATTTGACCTCTCGCCGTATTTCTACCCTGCGGCTGAGTTCATTCACCAGGCTTTGACATCAGGAGGTACTGCAAGCAGATTTTCAGAGAGGATGATACAGATCTGAGTTTTCACTATATTTGTTTCTGCCTTTTCTGACTTTCAGGGAAAGTGTTTGTGCACTGTGCTGTGGGTGTGAGTCGTTCAGCTGCATTGGTCCTAGCCTACCTGATGATTCATCATCACCTCAGTCTGTTGTCCTCTATACGTTGTGTGCAGCAGAAGCGCTGGATTTTTCCCAACAGAGGCTTCCTGCGACAGCTCATAGGCCTGGACCAAAAACTGCAGGATGATGGTTTAAATGAGCCAGAGTAAGAAAGCCAGAAACAACCCTCTATTTCCTCTTCCATTTGCTCCATTTATTGCATGTATAAACCAAAGTGTTCAGCTTCATTCACTCCCCTCCCTTGTCCTCTTCTAATGTGACATCAGTGGTATCAGAGCGAGCTCCTGAATTCTCCCCCTGGGGTTTTTTAGCATCAGTGAACAGACCAATCAATGCTACAGCGTTACAACATTAAATAACTACATCCAGACAGTCCGAGAGCACACTGAACACAGAGAGCTAATTTTGGAGCCAAGCAGCGTTCAAACAACCACCTGCTCATGCCTCTCACCGAGCTGTAGACTTCGGTGGGAAGGGGGACGGTGGGCACAGACAGCCTGAGCAGTGCGGGGGTGTGCTGAAGGAGCACTCTGCGTCCAGGGAGAATGTCAAGGAGCAAACAGCTACAGGACCTGCTGCTCATTAAAGAACTGGAGGTCATCTTGGATTCCTGCCCTGTGGGGCTCACACCGGTGGATGAAGTCTGGCCCAACCTGTACATAGGAAATGTGTGAGTGTGCTTTTGTACAACATCTTTCTGAATTCTGCTGGAGAGAAATGCCTGCTAAAAAGGAGAACTTGTATTCCTTTTACATTTAAGTTATTTAGCATTTATAGACACTAGACGTGGCTGTTCTATTCTTTAGTTTTACTCTTTTTTTCCATCTTTTTCCATGTCTACAGGGCTGTAGCACAGAATAAAAAGACATTGCATAAGCTTAGCATCACTCATGTCCTGAACGCAGCGCACTCCAAGCAGGGCAGCATTGGTGACCAGAGTTTTTATGGGAACACCTGCGTTTACTTTGGCATCCCAGCGGAGGATTCAGAGGACTTTGACCTCAGTCAGTACTTCAAACCTGCAACTGACTTCATACACAAAGCCCTGATGAGCAAAGATGGTAAACTGAATGTGAATATTATACTGTTTTTTTCTTTTCTTTTCAAGAGCTGGCCCTCATGATATTTTCCATCCTTCTCTACAGGAAAAGTGCTGGTGCACTGCATCATGGGCGTGAGTAGATCGGCCACTTTGGTCATAGCGTACTTGATGCTGTGGCAGCGTCTTACTCTGAGAGATGCTCTGAAGCATGTTGTCCAAAAACGAGCCATTTACCCCAACCGGAACTTCCTGTCCCTCCTACTCAAGCTGGATGACCAGCTGACACGAAAGAGGAGGCTGTGTCCTATTCTCTGACAGCCTTTGTTCCTCACTGCACCTTCATTTGATTAATGAACACCTCTCCATATGTAGAACTCCACTCTAATTGGCGATCAGTAGTTTGTAAATATGATATGTAATTAGATTTTGTTTGATGTAGTTGCAGGTGTAAGTCTGGAGTGACCTTTATTTATTCATTTTTATTTTTGAGGTTGTCTGCTGTCTTTCTACAGTCCAGCAGCAGCAGTGCTCACACTGAGCCTTTATGTCATGTTTCTCCTGGTTTGTTTTTCATATTTAAATCATATTCAAATGTTCTCTGTGAGTGTTAGGAGTCCTGCTCACATGCTTTGTACGGACAGTTTTATTAATGTTTTGTCAGATCTCACTTAAATTGTTTGGTCAGATGGACACTGCAATTTTAAACATGTTCAAAAAATATGTATATCTGACTAAGTTTAACCTTGAACAGTTTTCCTAATAAGAGACCTACTTTTTTAGTCAAGGATTCCTCAAATAAAATAATTATTTGTTTGTTTTATTTTGCTTTTTTTTTAATTGTCTTACTTAATATTGCCTAATCAATCTGACAAAAACAGGTGTGTTTAATTGCTGAGCTGTATATCTTAACAGTGCTCTGTTGGATTGAGATCTTGTGACTGTGGAGGCTATTTGAATTCAGTGAACTCATTTAAATGTTCAAGAAAGCAGTTTTTATTGATCTGAGCTTTGTGACACAGTCTTTCATCCTGCTGGAAGCAGCCATCTGAAGATGGTACAGTGTTGTCACAAAGGGATGGACATGGTCAGCAACAATACTCAGGTCAACTGTGGTGTTTAAATGATGCTCAGCTGGTACTAAAGGGCCCAAAGTGTATCAAGAAAATATCTCTACAATCATTCCAGCACCATCAGCTTGAATGTCGCAGCAGAAATTGAGATTCATCAGAACAGCTGATGTTTTTCCAGTGTGCTGTTGCACAATTTTAGTGAGTCTGTGCAAACTGTTCTTTTCTGACAGGAGCCACACCCACTGTGGTCTTCTGCTGCTGTAGCCCAAAGTTACATGTGATATACGTTCGGAGGTCCTCTTCTGCATACATTTGTTGTAACAAGTTGACCTTGACAAATGGTTACATGACTTTATACTGCCTTCGTACCAGCTTGAAGCAGTCTGTCTTCAAGATGACCTTTTTAGACAGAGTTGTGTGGGAAAATCACATTAGATAAATGGACTGGTTCATATATAGTGTTTTTCTACTTCACCTGAGCACAAAACTTCAAAAATTCAATAATGTGAATTTATACAACTTTACACTCATTCATACAAGCGCTTTCCCCCCCAAGTAAGTGCTTTTTATCTAACATTCATGTACATTCATACTCTTTTGGATGCATCACAGAGCAACTTGGATTAGTATCTTGCCCAAGGATATTTGACATACGAGATCTAACCACTAACTTTCCATTTAGTAGATGACCTGCTCTACCTCCTGAGCTACAGCCACCCGTAGATCAGCAGTTTCAGAAATATTTAAGGTTGTTGGTGCCTGTCTGCTGCCAACAACAATGCCACATTCAAAGTCACTTAAACCACCTTTCGTCCCCTTTCCGGTGGTTAGCTTCAACTTCAGCAGGTCACCTTCACCATGTGTACATGCCTGAATGCAATGACTAGCTGCCATGTAAATGTAAGTCATTAGATATTTGCATTAACAAGCAATTAAACAGGTGTACTGAACAGACTGGCCTGTGAGTATGTATCGAAATGGATGTAGCCATGGTGACATTACTCACTGGTTCCTGTTTTAAAACTTTGAGTCACGGTCACATTCTTGTACCTAATAAAGTGGCTGGTCTGTGTACATAAACAGTTTTAAAATGATGGCAAAGCAAAGGTTTATTAACTAAGTTTGCTCGTTAGTTGAACTTAGACGCATGAAAGGCAACTCTGTAGTGGCAGTTTAAAGGGTAATTGATTTGTCAGGGTGAGGTTGGTAGTGTCTGGACCACCTGGAGACCTATTACCACTGTGGGTTTTGTTTCCGCACGCAGAGGAAACCTTGAGCAACAGGAAAGAGTTAAACAAACAAGAAATAAATTTAGCTTGAACAAAGCAGATAAAAGCACTTCTGCTACCACACAAGCTGACAGAACAAACTGGTGGAGACTGGTAGATATAAGGCTGGGCCTTGATTGGATGATGAAGTGTAGGTGTGCCATCAGGTGTTTGCTCAGGAGTAAGAAGAGACCCAAAAGATAAAAACATTATAATTCTGACAGGGACCAGAAAGAAAATATAGGATGAGGACTCCAAAATAAAAGTGAGGTTATGCCGACTGTTACTGTTGCTATATTGCACGCCTAAGGTCATGCAGTCTTCCTTTCTTTAATTGGTTATTTGATAGTAAACAGCCTAAATCAGTATGAGCAGATTAAAAGCAGATAAAGCTAATAAATCACTGGTGAATATCATCCACATCTCTTAAAGGGACAGAGCAGCAGGCTTTACTCTGCAGCAGGGTAGCAACACAGACACACGCAGAGCAGCCACGTGTTACATAACAGTCCACAGTCATCATGGAAACATGTGAGCTAATGTTAAAGTTCACAGGATAAGGCTCAGGGTTGCCCCATGAGAATGAAACATCAGGTCTGCATTCACCATGAATAAAATGGGTTTCGAGTGCCTGAACAGTGAACACAGTATGTTAGATACTTTGTCACTTTTGAGTGTATGATTACAGAGTTATAAAAGGAAACAACCCCAGCTATGTGTGACTGTGATGAACAAATAAGAGCAGGCAGAGTAGGAGAGGAAACCGAAGCGCCTCGATGTGAGGTAAGTTCATGAGATTGGGCTGGTTTGGGGGATCTTTCAGGTAAGAAACATTTAGAAAGAAAGCAGGTGTGGCATCTTGAGAAAATCCCACTCTCAGGTCTGTGTGTTGCTAACAGAAGCTGGGATGACTAATAAGTTTACATAACAAACATTAACATTTACAGAAGCTTTTCATAGTGAAGGGCTAATAAATGACATTTGTGTGTGTACTTGTTATTTATGAGTGTCTGTGTGTTTGTACAGTATGTCTCTTAGGGATCCTCCGTATGAACCTCCCTCTGTCTCAGAGCTGCAGGAGTTTCTGCTTGCTGACAGACGACCGACTGGACATGTCAATCAAGTCTGGCCTAACCTTTACATAGGCAATGAGTATGCGTGCACACATTAACATGCACACGCATCTATAAACATTCTGCACTCGTGCAGCACTGAGTGTGCTATTGTGTTTCAGGGTAGCAGCTCGTGACAAGGGCACTCTTCACAGTCTGGGCATTACTCACATTGTAAATGCTGCTCATGGACCCACCAACCCAAGCCATGGGCTCTATTTCTACGTCAACACTGGCCCGCGCTTCTACAGAGACATGGCAGTGGATTATTATGGTGTTGAAGCTGATGATGCAATGGACTTCATCCTCAGTCCATTCTTCTATCCAACAGCAAGATACATCAGAGCTGCACTGGCCATGGGAGGCAAGTCGGCAGGGTTACAGCATGTGGCTGGATTAGATCTCAGTGTCATACAGCCACACCATCTAATGAGATTAGATTTTATTCTTGACTAAAGTAAGGAATCCTTATTTTAGTTTGGATTTAGATTTGGTTTCTGGCTCCAGTTTTAAAATGAGGATTTCATTTATTAAGTGGAACAAGCTTTCCAAGCCTACCTGGCCTTATGTGAAAAAGTGATTGCCCCCTGAACCTATTACAAAGCAGCCCCAGAACATCACACAACGACCAAGTTTGACTGTTGGCATGACATTCTTATATGAAAAGCTGTGCTAGTTTTGCAGGAGATGTAACGGGTCTAAAACCTACCAAAAAAGTTAATCTTTTGTCTTGTCAGTCCACAGGCTGTTTTCCCCAAAGTCTTGGGGATCATTAAGATGTTTTTTGGTGAATGTGAGACAAGCCTTTGTGTTTTTTTGGTCAGCAGTGGTTTTCTCCTTGGAACTCTTCCGTGGATGCGATTTTTATCCTGTCCCTTTATTTTTATTGAATCATGAACCTTAACGAAGTCAAGGCAGGCCTGCAGTTATTTAGATGTTGTTCTGGGTTCTTTTGTAAACCCCCGAATGAATCGTTGATGCACATTTGGAGTAATTTTGGCACGTTGCTCACTCCTGGGAAGGTTCAGACATATTCCAGTTTTACTCCATTTGTGCATTTGCGCCCTCACTGTGATTTGCTGGAGTTTCAAAGGTTTGTAACACTTTTCAGACTTTGTTTCCCATCCGTTCTTGAGTTTCTTTAGATTTTGGCATGATGTGTTGCTTTTTGAGGTCTTTTGGCCTACTTCACTTTGTCAGACAGGTTCTATTGAAATGATTTCTTGATTCATCAGGCCTGGCAGTAATCAGGTGAGTGAAGCTGAACTCAGCTTTCCAAAAAATGTTGTTAATCATGGTTAATTCATGATTTAACAAGAGGGGACGATTACTTTTTCATACCGGGCCAGGTAGTAATGAATGAAATCACAATTTAAAAACTGACAATGATTTCAAACATTTAAGTGTGACAAATGTGCAAAAAAAACCCAAAACTTTTTAACAGCATTATATATCAATGATTGTTATTGAGGGTAATGTTTATCATCTCAATCCCAGGACGGGTGTTTGTACACTGTTTGATGGGCGTGAGCCGATCTGCAACCTTGGTGCTGGCCTTTTTGATGATTGTTGAGGGCCTGAGGCTGCAGGAGGCAGTAGCCGCTGTCAGGCCGCACAGAGACATCTGCCCAAACCCAGGCTTCCTGCAGCAGCTCCGCAGCCTCGACATGAGCCTGGAGAGAGAGAGGAGGAGACGAAGACAAGCCCAAACACTGTAAAGATACAATCAGTCACACACAAACCCATAAGCATCAACATATGCAAACACATATGCGCACACACACAACACACACACATCTTTATTGCTGCAGAAGTCACTTAGCCCGGCAGGAAGAAACGGCATCTCTGACAGAGCTGAGGAACATCCTTTGGACAAACAGGAAACCGGTGGCACCCGTCAATCAAGTCTGGCCAAACCTCTACATTGGAGATGAGTGAGTGGAAAACTCTTTTTAGGCGCCATGAAATGTATCAAAAACGATATTCTAGTAAATCAGTCTGTATGCCGTGTGTGTATGTAGGTCTGTGGCACGAGATAAAATCACACTTTCATCTCTGGGTATAACTCACATACTAAACGCTGCAGCAGGACGACACCGCATTAACACAGGCCTGCAGTTCTACAGAGACCTCAAAGTGGAATACCACGCTGTTGAAGCTGCAGACCACCCAGAGTTCAACCTCCAGCCTTTCTTCAGATCAGCCGCACAGTTCATTGACAGTGCGCTGAAAAAAAACGGTTAGAGGCTAAGCAAATAGACATGCATACATTAATGTTAAGCAATCCGTCAGTTACTTTCAGCTATTATTAAAAGGTCTGATCAAAATGTCTTTCAGGGAAGGTGTTTGTTCACTGTGCCATGGGTGTCAGCCGCTCTGGAGCGCTGGTTTTGGCGTACCTGATGATTTGCCAGGGCCTGTTGTTAGTGGAGGCTATCACTGCTGTGCGTCTTAATCGAGACATTGGACCCAACTCTGGTTTTTTGGAGCAGCTGAGGCAGCTGGAACTGAGCCTCAATACACAGAGCAGACAGATCCCAGAGGAGGA